CCATACTCTGTTCCTACTCCAGTCTTCTGAAGATGCCGGCCACAGAGACTGGTGAAACGTCAGGAAGAAAAACTTCAGAACATGGCCAAAGAGCCCGAAAAATCCACAACCACCATAAGATCCCGGCCATGAAAGCCTTTGTGAATACATTGTCACTATATTACTTCAGCTCTTGTAAATCACCTATAGCAGTGGTCCCCAACCCTTTTTGGGACAGTGGACCAGTTAGGGGGTGTGGGCTCTGTGCATGGGGGATGCGGGCACCCCTGTGCTTGGGGGTTGGCATGTCATGCTTGCGGAGGGGGCGTGTTGTGCTTCACGGAGAGGCCCCTGACCTATAGGCGTGGTGCACCCGCGTGCATGCACACGAGCATGAGATGCCCACCCATGAGTGTGACATGCCTCTCCATGAGCATGACACACCCCTCCGTGATCGTGACACGCTCACCATGCATGCGTGTGCTTCACGGAGAGGCCCCTGACCTATAGGTGTGGTGCATGAGCATGACACACCCCTCTGTGATCGTGACACGCTCACCGTGCATGCGTGGGGGGCCGGAGATCCGTCTCCGTGGCCCAGTTCCAGGAGGCCCACGGACCAGCACCAGGCTGCGGACTGGGGGTTGGGGACCCCTGACCTATAGGCCTGACATACTAAGATATAAGAAACATCTAGACTCCTGGGCCTCTAAAATTATTTTTGTGATAACTTTCTTTTATGCTTGTTTATATACAATATTTTGGTACCCAGTTAATATAGGTACTTTTATTGCCATCCTCCAAGTTCATGAGATGTTGGGCTCCCCCTGTGTTACTGTACTCTTCTCCTGTGGAGGGCTGGCTGCATCATGCAGGCAAGACAGGAATAATAATTTGAGTAATGATATGGTGACACAAAGTTTTCTACTTCTCTCTTCATGGGATCTGAAAGGCTTTTGATGGAGCAGGAGCAAACTGTATATGTGATGACATCTGGGGTGTTTTATACTTCATTTGGAACAGACAGTTTGAGAAGCAATGAGTATTACAAGCAGAGTAGAAACAGAAGAGGAAGGCGACTGGATTTCATCTCTTTCCAGCTGAGTCATGCATCTGAAGATGTGTAGCACACAAAACTAGACATCAGTAACTCACTGAGAGGAAAGTTGGCAGATCCAGGCTAATTCAGTGAATTCATCTTCAGCCTGATTGGCTCACTCAGCTCCTGGTTTCAGTGCATGGAGCTTTTTCTTCCTGTCATTTTGGAAACGACACAGCATCTCCTGACTTTTTTCAAGCTTAAAAGTGTATACAGCAGGACCCTTTTTAATTGGAGGATGAGCACTAGGGTGAATAAATCCACTTAAGAATCAGACAAGAAACTGAGTTTTGACCATTTATTTCCCCACAATGTGGTTAACAATTTGCAGGTGGGGTAATTTTGGCTGGGAGTACAGTTGTGGTATGTTTTAAGACTACTCTTCTGTAGCTCTTCGCATCGGTGAAAACCAAAAAACAACTCTAATTTGGAATGCAGAGGGATTTATTCAGATCTCAGTATCACATCTTTTTTTTGGCCATGTCATATTAGGCCAGTTTGACCATAAAAGTCTCAGTTTAATATACTATATTTAAACCAGTAACATCAACTTTGCCACCTCTCATCTGGATTTCATACTATTGTTTGTAGTCAGGGATTAAACCTCCCTCTTTCTGGAAACTGTTTAAACAGTGAAAAAGCAGAGATTGTTTGAAGTCTGCTTCTTATTTAGGAATGACCTGATGGCTAGTACAGGCATGGTGCTATAAATTAAACTATGCACACTTAGCAAAGTATATGAAGTGTGTAATAGCCATCAGAAGGTCACAGCTGTCTGCAATGCTTTTACACAATTTTGCCTTCTATCCCTTCACTAGTTTTTATGATGTCAATTGTCCACTTGTTGTTGATACATTTGTTTAGGTAAGCTTTATTATCCCATTGGCACTTGAAATTTGACTTATTGTTTTGCATGCAAGTCAGACTTTTACGTAATGCCAACTGTCATAGGAAAACTCAGTCAGTCTCTTTCTCTGAATTCATTCAAAATAATTTCAATACCCTGTGAAATACAACAAGGGTGCAGAATCTGCATCCCTCCTAAAACCTACAGATTCTAATACCCTGGAATACAGAAACAAAATTCAAAATGATCTTGATAGGCTGGAACACTGAGCTGAAAAAAAAAGAATGAAATTAAACAGAGATAAGTGCAAAGTACTGCACCTTGGGAAAAGAAACCAAATGCACAGTTACAAGATGGGGGATACCTGGCTCAGCAATACTACAAACTAGAAGAATCTGGAATTGTCATATATCACAAGCTGAATATAAACCAAGAGTGCAATGTGACTACAAAAAAGCAAATGCTGATTTAGGTGGCATTAACAAAAGTATGGTTTCCAGTTCCGCCAGGTGCTAGTCCCCCTCTATTCAGCACTGGTTAGGCCTCACCTTGAATATTTTGTCCAATTCTGGACACCACACTTCAAGAAGGATGCTAACAAATCGGAACAAGTTCAGAAGAGGGTAACAAGGATGATCAGGGCTGGAAACCAAGTCCTATGAGGAAAGACTGAAAGAATTGGGCATGTTTAGTCTTGAGAAAAGAAAATTGAGGGGTGATATGATAGCACTTTTCAAATATTTGAAAGGCTGTCATACAGAGGAGGGTCAGGATCTGTTCTTGATCATTCCATTGCAGCAGTGGGCTCAAGTGACAGGAAGCCAGATATCAGTTGAATATCAGGAAAAACCTCCTAACTGATAAAGCAGTAAAACAGTGGAACCAATTATTTTGAGAAGTGGTGAGTGCTCCAACACTGGAGGCATTCAAGAGAAACTTAGACAGCCACATGGCAGATATCTTTTGATTTGTATTCCCACACTTAAAAAGCAAAAAGCAAAGCGTGCTGCTTATATACCGCCCCATAGCGCTTCAAGCACTCTCTGGGCAGTTTACAGTTATGCAGGCTACACATTGCCCGCCCCCAGCAAGCTGGGTACTCATTTTACCGACCTCGGAAGGATAGAAGGCTGAGTCAACCTTGAGCCAGCTACCTGGGATTGAACCCCAGGTTGGGAGCACAGTTTGGCTGCAGTACAGCTGTTTAACCATGGCCTTATAGACCCCTTCCAACTTCACTATTCTATGATTCTATACCCTTCTTTTCCAGAACTCCTCATCATTTCCTGCCAATTTCATATAGATTCCTCCTTGTCCACCTCTACTAGCAGTGAAGAAAGAGTTATCTCTTACCAGAATCTCGTGTGTGGTGGTGAAGGAGGAGGAGAACCTTTTCTTCATCACTTCTCCTAGAAAGCCAAATCCAGATAATTTTTGCCACAATGGGAAAATGAGGGAAACAAAAGAAAGAGTTTCCTGGAATTGATTTGTTTTAGCTTTAAATGATAAACACGAATTTTGTATACTTATTGTTTTTAGCTTTAAATATTATCATTTAATGACATAAGCTTCCTTGGGTCCTTTTTAAAGAGAAAGGTGGGGTATATATGTTTTAAGTAAACAAGCAAACAATATGTGCTCAAACATGCATACATATCTGCCTCTGAAATTTAAAAATTTGTACATGCCCATTGATTTCAGTAGATAATTGTAAAATGATTTGTGGGCCTTGAGAAATATGAATTTACTCATTCATAGCATAAACAAATTTTAGCATACAGTGTTGATAAGAGCAGAGAACTTGTGAGCAGAGATGTAATGTTTTCTAGGCTGATGAATGAAAATAATGACTATCCTGATCTGATTTAATGATATCTCATAGCCAAGGATGTAAAGCATCTTCATTAAATTCTTCACAAGTGCCAATTTAGTTTGTCCCAACTCAATGAGGTAATTTGAAAAAAAAAATGTGATGTTCATTTTCACGAAGTGACGGTGACACAAGGAGTGCTGTTTTTTTTCTCATTAACATTTTTTATCTGTGCAAATCAGCTCTGCACAGAACTAGTATCCTTTCACTTTGAAAGTAATCAGGACTGACTTCTTTTGCTTCAGCACAGACAACTTCAAAATTTAAAATTTTTAAAGGTCTGTGCAAAAAAAGAGGACATTTTCTGTGATCTTAAATAAAGTCTATTTGGACAATTCTGCTTAAAATGTGCAAAAAATGTTCTCCTCTTGTGACTAAAACTTCACTGTCTTGTGGAACAAGAAGGAAAACATTTGTAGTTTGTCATACTTGCATAGCATAAACAGAAGAAGCGAAGATTTACATTCTTACTCACAGCTAACAAAAATATTAGCTCAAAGCTGTCCTGTGGACCACTCTTCAGTCTAATCCATTAGTTCTCTCTCTTTTTTAAATCACTTCTTCAAAAGCAAACCTTACCTTAGACACTGCTGTACACATTTGTGATCTGCAGCCAATTCCACAATCATAAGAGGCAGGGGTAGACAGAACATATGTTTTGTGTTCTGACAATCCTGGGTTCAGTCCCCAGCATCTCCAGATAGGGCAGGAAGCTATGAGAAGCCTTTGCCAATCAGTATCAATAGTGCTAGACTGCATGGGCTATACAGGATGGCTGCCTTTGCCTATTAAGGATGCAAGAAATTCTTCCCCCTTTTCCATTGGTGTTTATCCTCCAGGAAATTATGTAGGGATGAGAGGCTATAGCTGTGAATCATTTGTCCATAATCCATAACTGAACAACTGCTGGATAGCTCATATGGTTTAAGTATCTGGCCACAGAGCCCAAAGGTCAGGAATTCAGTTTACCACTGTGCCTCCTTGACAGCAGCTAGACTAGATGATCCACAGGATCCCTTCTAGGTCTGCAGCTAATGCCTGCTAAATTTCAGGGAGGCATGATTCTCTCTTCTAAAGTGAGAAAGATTCTTGTAGGTTTTTTGGGCTGTTTGGCCATGTTCTGAAGGTTTTTCTTCCTAATGTTTTGCCAGTCTCTGTGGCTGGCATCTTCAGAGGGGTGGAGTTAGAACTCTGTCCATGTTCTGGTGTAGTGTGTGGGACAGTTTAGTATTTCCCAAACATTACATCAGAACACAGACAGAGTTCTAACTCCACCCCTCTGAAGATGCCAGCCACAGAGACTGGCAAAACATTAGGAAGAAAAGCCTTCAAAATACAGCCAAACAGCCTGAAAAACCTACAACAACCATTGGATCCTGGCCATGAAAGCCTTCAAGAATACATTCATGTGTATTGCTTTCAAAGGCTCTTGAGCTTCTACAAGCTCTCACAGAGAACACTTGAGAACACTTGAATGTATTTCTGTATCACTAAAATATTGTAATCCTCCTTGTCTGAAAAACTCATGCATACACAAGAACCATATCAAGGAAAAGACTTCACCCAAGTTTTCTTTCTAACATCCTATTTTCTGTCTTCAGGGATGCTTATACACAGGAACGTGCACACACAGGGAAGTATTTAGACATTCTTCTTCCCATGACCTCCTTTGTGGTATGGCATTGCAAATTCTTTCACATTTTACTTTTGCAAGCCAGATGAGAAATGATGCTAATTATTCTTTTCATTGTGGTTTTGTGATACATGTTTTTCTGTAAAAATCATTCTCTGAGAAAATGTGCACAAATTGCTACATGTGTATATTCAGAAAACATGCCGGTGTCTAGAAAGTATTTAAAACATTATACAGAAGGGGCAGAAACCTTGTCACTGACTCTTGCCATGGGGAGAAGCCACAAACTGGCAGAAGAGAGGGATTTTGTTAAAATTCCTTACATTAGTGGAGAACATGTAAGCCACTTTTGCTGATTGCTTCCTTTCCACAAGCTTGGAAGTAGGGAGCTACAAGAATAAGATGCATAGTCATTGGTGTATAGTCTATAACAAATTACTTTATAGGTAATAATAAATAGTACAGTCATGGCCAAAAGTATTGCACCCTTGCAATTCTGTCAGAAAATTTAAGTAACCCTCCTCTCAGAAACAACACAAAAAAACAGAGAGGAAAAGTCAAATCTGATATAGTAAAACCCCACATAGAAACCCAAAAACGCACTGGCCAAAATTATTGGCACCCTTAACTCAATATTTGGTAGCACCCCCTTTGGAATAAATAACTAAAATCAATCGCTTCCTGTAACCATGAATGAGTTTCTTACACCACTCTACTGGGATTTTGGGCCACTCTCCTTCTACAAACTGTTCCAGGGCCTTCAGATTTGAAGGATGTGTCTCCCAACTGCTGTTTGGAGATCTCTCCACAGGTGTTCTATGGGATTCAGATCTGGACTCATTGCTTGCCATTTCAGAACTCTCCAGCACTTTTTTTGTAACCATCTCTGGTTGCTTTTTGAAGTGTGTTTTGGGTCATTGTCCTGCTGGAAGACCCATGACCTCTGGTGGAGATGCAGCTTTCTGACACTGGCCACTACATTGTGCCCCAAAATTATTTGGTAATCATCATATTTCATGATACCATTCACATAGTCAAGGCATCCAGTGCCAGAAGCAGCAAAGCAGCCCAAAAACATCTTTGAACATCCACCATGTTTGACTTTAGGGACTGTGTTCTTTTCTTTGGATGTCTCATTTCTTTTTCTGTAAAAAAAGTAGTCCTTTACCAAAAAGCTCTACTTTTGTATCATCTGTCCACAGTACATTCTCCCAGAAGGATTGTGGTTTTGTCACTTAAGTTTTGGCATACTCCAGTCTTGCTTTTTTATGCCTTTGTGTCAGCAGTGGTGTCCTCCTGGGTTTCCTTCCAGAGCGTCCCTTTTCATTCAAATGGCGGTGGATAGTGTGAGCTGACACTGTTGTACTCTGTTGTGGTGGTCACAAAATGAGAAGGCTGATAGTTTATATGATCACAAATAATTAGGATAGTAAATAGTCTTGGAGAGAGAAGTTAAAGTCAGTCATGCACACAGGGATGTCTGCCAGCAGAGCTCCAGATGGGCGACTACGAATACCACGCCCCCAGGAGGACTGTCCTTTATTACTTTAGCAAGCTCACAGATAGTTGACAGTATACAGATTATTGACAGAGTTCAAATAGGACACACTGACTTCGGCATAATTGTAATTATGCACTGTGGGGGGCCCTGAATTGTTCCAAAACTATATTTCAGTGCTATAGGAAATGATAATAGTAATAATTATATTAACGGCAATTTGTTTATTGCTGCAGACAGATGCTTTACAATACAGATAAACACACACAATTCTGCTCCTAAGGCAGTTACCAAAGAAATGTTTTGCTGCTGTCAAAAGCAGAGGAGTAATACAAGAGGCATGGAAAGATATCAAGAGTGAAAAAGAAATCATTTAAATTAGGACAATGTCCTCAGGAGTGTTCCTTTGGAGAAGCTTTGCTGATATCAACACAAGTATTGCAGACTGAGCTTTTGAGGAATTTTAAAGGGCCCATTAATAATTATTAGCCAATCTTCAATGAAATTTTGACCTTTTCCAGGGTATAAAGGATTCAGAGGAGGTTTGCCAGTTCCTGGTGCCATTCTGGAACTGGGCACAGAATCTCATCAGCCTCACACACTCTAACTGATCTTGGCTGGCCCATTCTCCAGGAAGCCCAGTGGGCATTCAGAGTCCTGACCCTGACTCTGCTCCAGCCCACTGAGTTACAGCAGCTTAGGCTGAGACTTTTTCAGCTGGAACTGGCATACTCCTGCATAATGGATGGTCAGAAAGATGTTTGTTGTTTAAAGAACTCTGCAGAGATTGGGCAAAAGCAGCTACGCATTTGAACGACAGCTCGCAGAATCCCCACGTTGCACTCCCACAGCCATAACATTGAGGGATTCTTAGTTTTCTTATCACAAAAAGCAAATCTTACAGGTTTGGAAACCTGAGCATCTATCTCGTCCTTGAGCTCCTCTTTCCACATGTAGCTAGTGATGGTAGAGTTGTGGTGGCTTGCTTTTCAGCATTGTCAAACAATAGTTGTCTTGCATTGCATTTTAAGGAAAGTCTGTTCAGGAACTGAAGTGATTTACATCAGAATTCTCAATCTTTTTTTTTTTTTTTTTTTGCTGTTGTTTTTAAACACAAACCAAAGAGATGAACATGTAAGTACCGAAACATTTGCAACTTTCCAAAATTTTCTTACAGAATTGCAAGGGTGCCAATATTTTTGGCCATGATTGTATAATTAGTAATTGCACACTCACTCTTTAGGAGTAGCAGGCTATACGTACAGTATTGAGCTGTAACAAGTAACATTTAGTTACTTCTAAAGATCAATTTTAAAGGCTTTCAAGGTATTTTTAGATCCCCTTTGAAATGACTTTTACAGATATTCTCTTATTCTCTAGTTAGTCCAAGTTTTAAGCAAGGTATTCTCTGTTATTTGTTTTTTTTTCATCCAACCTGGCAAGAGAGTGTTCCTTCATTCCTATTTTCCACATTCTGTGGCACTGCATAGCAACTCATTAACACAATGCAACACGAGTAATTACTTGTGGATTCAGACCAGCTGTAAGGAATACAGCAACTTCATTGCTCAATGAGTTCCCTTTAATATGTAACATTCCAAGTTCTGTTTCTGTTAGAGTAGGCATGTGAATTAGTTTCCCAAAATCCCTACCACCATATTTGTCCTGTCCTTTATTAGAATTGAATTTATTTTTTCCCCACTCCAGTGCAGAAATTCATGTAGTATTTGGTGTACAACATTTGTTTACAGCAACACATCACAAGCCTCTGAAATTCATGGCTGTTTGAGGCAAAAAGTGCTCTAGCCTGTTGCCACTCTAAGCAGATGCAAAATGGTTATGGAGAAGTACAAATTCAGTATTTTCCCCCCACACGTAGTTAAGCGAATTAGCTGAAATATACCCAGACATCATTACTGTGATTTCCTAATTCTCACTTATTAGTACACAGCTGCTTGTATATTCTACCTTTCCTTAGTTGAGGATAGATAGGGAATACAAATTTAGAGTAAACATATAATATAGCATGCATTTCTGCAGTAAGAGTATTTGATCAAACAGTACATTAATGAGCAGTTCTTCCTGCTGTCTTTTCAGATTTAACTGGACAAAAGATGGGAAACCATTTGATCTACACAGTGATTCAAGGATAATTGCATCCAACAATTCAGGAACATTTGTTATTAAGAATCGTGGGAACATATCCGTATTTCAAGGAAAATACCGCTGTTCTGCTTCTAATGAGGTGGGGACAACTGTGTCAGAAGAAATAGAACTTGTAGTTCCAGGTGAGCGTTTTTATTGCTTATTGAATGTGTATTTGTATTTTTATTTTTTAAAAAGAAAAAATACAAGGAGCATATACTGGGCTCATTGCTGTGGTGTTTAGGGTGCAAAAAAACAGTGTAGAAATTGAGACCTAAAATTCATGGTTTTTCTATTTTTAATAATTTTTAAAAGAATTCTCCATACTAGTAGTAGTAGTACTTTATTACGGTCAACAACCAGTAAAACCAAAACAGCATAAAATAGATACATACAATTATTGTTTCAGGCATGATAATAACATTCAATTAAAACATGGTAAAACAACCCCTTCTTTCCAATTAATAACATCATATATCCTTAATATTGTTAAAATTTCAGGCAGTGTCATATTAAAAACATATTGTTCATCTAAAATCACCTACCCAAACATCTGTTTACGAACAACCATTGCTGCAGCACAGAATTTGGCCACTTGTCTTGTGATATAAGGGGTGTTGTCTGAGAGTAACCACTGTATATAATCCTCTGATCTCCCAGGAGATTTACAGATAATGGGTGATAAAAGCTCCATACGGAGATCCCAATAGCAAGAACAGAAAAAGAACAGAAAAGAAGAACATGACCAACTGATTCAACCTTATCATTATTGCAAGGGCAGAGACAATCTGATGCCGGCAAACCTCGAAATCTTCCCTCCAGAAGCTTAGAAGGAAAGACATTGAGCCTAGCTAGTGTGAAAGGCCTCTTGATGAGCCTTTCCAAATTCCAAATGGTTCCTTCAGTTTCCCCACAGTGAAGTTCCACCATCATTGTAGACTCTCTACCTGTGAAAAGGGAACAGTAGTGGACTGGGGGTCTATTAGGATCACAAATGCTTAAATTTTGACATTAATAGGTCAGAAGTTAAAGTGTCAAAGACAACTCTATCAAGGTCAGATTCTGTAATGTGCTTTCCTCTCAGTCCTCCCTAAGAGGGCACAGCAATGACAGAAATCTAATCATCCTCCATGAGTTCACAATTCCAACTGAAGGCATAAATACCTCTGCATTATGTGTAGTGTCAAGACATCAAGGAAGGTGTAAAATGTCAGAAATTCTGTGGGATTTCTTCCTGGTTGAAACAGTTAACAAAGCTGAAAGAACAACATCTAATTAAAGAAAAAACAATTAGATGAATCCCAAGGAAGTCTCACTGAGAATATCTGGGGCAAATAATTGCACATCAATGTGCTGCAGGTGAAGTAATTGTGAAGTAATTTCTTAGTTCATATCTGAAATTGCAGTCCTGAAGCTGTTTAGCAAGGGCTGTGGTACACTGCATACATGCATATATTTTCATTGCTATGTATCATTTGTTGTTTGCTGTAATTTGCTGGTTGACTCTCATCCAGCTGGTTTCTCCAGAGAACAGGCCAGCAGGTACGTATTTAAATAGACAAGCAATTTATAAAGTATCCTCATAAAAAGTGAGTTCCCAGTAGAAAAAAGTGATTTTTAGACTATGTCAAATATTGTATTCTTCCTTTCTATTCTACATTCTCTGCATAAATTTACATAAACCCATAACTCATTCTTTATCTTATTTTATTTTTTGATTTTAGCAATAGTTTTTAGACACCTATGTGCTTTAGTGAGAGGGGGGAAATGTAGCTTCACGGTGTTAGAAAACTGACATAGAATTTTAAAAGCAGTGTTTTAAAACCTGTATTCCTCAAATCATTTCAAAATGTCCATAACACATATCCGTCTGTCTTAGACTGATCTGTAGAATCAATCCAAAAGCAAATACAATATGCATTATAATGAATTATTTCTTGGGTGAGGGAACAACTTTTTTTTTTTTTTTTGCTGGCCTGTATCTTTTCAGAGGCCAGATAAAATGTACTCTAGCAGAGTAAGGTGGTGTTCATATTGCAATGGTGTTCACAGAAAAATGTAGCAGGTGCAAAGCTTAACCCGAGCCTTTACCTGTGCTTGTTTTGAGCAAGTTAGCACTTTTCCCTTCTTGGATGTGTTTTATTGGAGGCCTTCCTGTGTTAGAGTTGTTTGATCTTCAACTGAATCTCAGAAGAGCGAGATGTTTAGGTCTGTGGCCACCTTGAAGGCTCGTGGTGGTTAGGAAATCTCAGAAGTGGCTTTGTTTTCATTACCTTCAAGTACCTAGACACCAGAGACCAGCACTTGAGGATGAAACGTCTGTTCACACTGTTCCCTTTATTTGATCAAGGGCCAAGTTCCAGTTCCCTCCCTAGGTTTCTCATTATAGGTATGGTAAATTCCATCATCTATTTTAGGAGTAGACCTTAGGAATTTATTCCAAACAGGTGAGGGGTCTCCCAAAAGATCACTGAATATTATAGAAGCACAGTGTGTTGGAATCACCTTCTGGAAGAGTCTGTGAGTTTAGTTGCCTGATCTATGGTTTGAAAAGTGACCAGGCATTTTCCATGCAAGGACTTGCAAAGACTGGGACATGTAATAGCTCATGTCTCAGTTTTGACATCCAAGGGATATTAATGAGAGATACACTGGCTCTAACCATGAGAGTTTTGTTCTGCTTTTTGTCGCTAACAGCTACGGATAGATTTGTCTGACATTTTGTCTAATCCACAAATAAAGGCATCTGAGATAGTGGCCATCACTATATTTCTGCTGCAAATCCTATTGGATGATTTGTACATTAGCCAGAATCCTGTTTGTTACACCATTTGCCTCACTCCATCAACCCAACTGCTGGGGTGACTTGCTACAAGTTAAAAAGTCATTTTATATGTTTGCCAACACATACCGGTCACATGCTTCTGTGTGCAGTGACAAATGCCTGCTCTGTAGCTATGACAATTCTCTACTGAAATTTATACTGATAGTGGTTGTTGTGGGTTTTTCGGGCTCTTTGGCTGTGTTCTGAAGGTTCTTCCTGACGTTTTGCCAGTCTCTGTTGCTGGGGTTTTTCTTGGGCACGGAGGCG